CGCTCAACCCGTCCCACAACCAGAGGAGCGGGAATCGTATTTTTGAGGTTTTGCCTCCTTTTTGCGCTGTAACTGCCCCTTTCTTTTTGCGCTGTTATTGCCCCCCTGTGCGCTGTAATTGCCCCCTCGTTTTTGCGCTGTTATTGCGCGCTCTCAAGCCGTATTGGTTCGTTGTTTGGTCCTCTGCTTAAGGGCACTACAGGGTGGGAGGAGCTATCGGCGTAGATGGGTTTTGAGAGCCGAGGCACTGTGTCCAGAGGACGCTCGTGTTTCAAACACTGCCCGAACATTGCAACGTGGACCCTCTTCTGCAGCGAGAGAAGATCGTCATCGTTATCGTTGTCATCACTACATCACTGCCATCATTGCCATGATTGCCGTCACTAGCATCATCGCCTTCATCATTGGTATTACCGGTTTGATTGAATACTTTTACTGGTATTGTCATTTTTCGAAGTGGCGACAGTGGCAGCAGCAGAAGCCGTAGCAGCAGTAGCAGCAGTAGCAGCAGTAGCAGTCGTCGTCGTCGTCGTCGTCGTCGTCTTCGTCGTAGTCTGTAGTAAAGACAATAGTAACAACCGTAGAGTGCACACGAGTCGCAAACGCAGAGTCAGTTCCAACAATTAAGCCAAGAACAGAGAAACACCTAACTGGAGAGAGACAAAGAGAGTCTGTCGGCGTGTGCACACGATTCGCTCTATACGTTGAACCCCTACACCCTAAAGACCCTAATCTTCTTTCGACGCCTCGGATCTCTTGCCTCGCAGCGAGCGCCTGAGCTGAGGCCGCCAATCTGCGGGGCAGCGCCTCTCGCGTCTTCCTGCCGGCCCCGCAGCCCAAAGCCAGGCAGGGCCGGGGAAGAGATGCACCGACTATTCATGCTTGCATGAGGTGTTATAGGAATTTAGGGACCTTTGGAGTGCTGACAGGTCCTGTTTTGTTTACATTCGCAAAATGTTTGAAGGAAGGTTGCGGCGGTAATGACACTTCCATCGAAGCATGTGGGGTTCTTGTTTGAGCAGCGTTGAATCCCGCCGTGCGACGGCTGCTTCAATGATCTTTTGCCGGCTGACAGACTTGAGATGAGGCGATTGTCCGCGTCCCTGAGCATGGGGCCCTGCCCCTGAACCCTGAAAGCCTCAAACCCCAAAAACTACGGAATAGGGTAATAGTAATATCCAAAACGCCCCAGCACGATAAAGCACAGACAGTTAAGCTCTTCACCCCAAAAAAAAGCTTTCTTTTGATCTCCAAGGGTGCCTCGGCCCATCGGGGCCGTGCCGCCCATCCCCAAAGCCAAGTGAGAGACCCAGTGACGGAAGCAGAAGTGGGGCATCCATCGTAGATTCATAGATAAATTTCGGGTGTTATTGCGTGTGACAGGGTGTGCGACAGGGGGCGTGCAGCTTGAGAGGGCGGAGGGACCCCCTTTTTTTTATCGCCGTCTCTTACCGAAGCCATCTTTTTATTTACAATACGCATTCTTGTCCTGTCAATAATGGCTATAGTTATTCTCAGAGTTGTTCTTGCTGTTGCCATTCATCATATTCACCTCATAGTTTCTATCACCATCGTAGTTCATGAACTCGCGCCTCGCCGAAGTCTTCGAGGCCTCAAGCCGTGAAGCCTCAAAGAGCCGAGGCGCGATGCCCAGGGCGTCTGTGTGCCATACGGGCAGTTCTTAAAATTGGGGCCCGTTTTAGGGCTCCTTAAAGGGATCTATACGGGTTTCTATAAAGGGTACTGTAAGGGTTCTACATGGGCAGTTCTCTAAACTCGGGTCCCTTTCAGGGTGCCGTGCCACGTTGAGGACTTAGAAAGGGAACCCTACTTTAGAGAGCTGCCATTCCTCTTCTTGTTAGTTCTGCTGCCAGCACGCAGGAGGACTTCTGCAGCACTACCCACAGATTTTCAGCGCTTTCGGCGCCCTTGGCTGAGGTCCGACCGGCTGCCAAGAGGCCCTGGGCTTAGGGTTTAGGTTTTAGGGGTTTAGGTGGACATGATGTTCCTTTGGGCCGAGTTGTTCGAGCTCGAGACTCGGTACTGTTGAGGCCTGCAGAGCCACCCTGGAAAGAAAAAGCAGAGGCTCGCTTTTCAATGACGGGACGGACAGGGAAATAGTACTTTTTTTTGAAAATAGTATATTTCGTTTGGAGTTGGTTTCTTTTCTGTCTCGCTGATGCTTTGCAATTTCTTTTGGTTGTAGTAGTGGGCTGCCATCGCAGGCTCAGCCAAGTGCGCCGCCCTCCATCAGCCAGGCGGGTACAGATGCAAAAATCTGTTATTCATCAGATCTATCATCGCCCTACTCCTGAGTTGCTCCAACATTGCGTGTCGTTGTCATGGTATGGCCAGTTAGGCAACATCCTAAATCCCCAAAGCTCCCTTTGGCCGCCGGGAGTCGCCGAAACAGGGCCCAAGCCCTGGCTCCCAAGAGGCGGCCCAGCTACGGCGGAGCGGCCCTGCCTCGAGTGCTCCGGGCTCTTCGAATTTGTTTCGGGGGTTTGCTTCCGGGTTGCGGTTTCTTCGCTCGCGGCTTTTTTGGCCTTTCGAAGCTCCAGGTATGGAGCCCCGCAGTCGGCCGAACAAAGGAGGAGGCAAGGGCCAAGGCGGGTTGTACTCCGACAAGGCCCGGTTTTTGTGGCCTGTGTGCACATGAAAGAGACCCCCTTTGTATTTTTAGAGATTCGTGTTATGTCCACGAGGCTGCGGAAAAGAAACGTGCTTACGAATGGAGCCATGAGCCCCAGGCGCGTTGGGTGGTTTTGCAGTGAGGGCTGACAGGCTGGAGGCAGGCCTCATGGTTGAGATACTGCAGGCAGTACCAGTGTTTGTCGGCACTATCAGGCGCAGCAGCAAAATCACCACAGAGCAAAGACATTGGCCATGGAAAGATCCAGAGAACAAGCCAGAGCAAGAGCAGTAGTCGTCGCGGTGGCAACCGCGGCAGGAGGAGCAGCGGGAGCAGCAGGAGGAGTAGTCGTCGTCAGAATCGTCGACGTAGCAGTAGGAGCAGCAGCAGTACCAGTTGCAGCTGGCGGCGCTGACGACCAGCCGCAGCATCTGCGGCAGTAGATCAGCAGTAGCAGCAACGGGAACAGAAACAGAATGACAGGACCAGCAGACTAGCAATACCGGCGGCAACAGTGACATGAGCAACTTAATGCACACTGTTACGCACAGACGAATGCTGGTGTTTAGTGCCAGTGCTAGCCAGACTAGCAATAGTCATAGAAACACGAACATCCTTCCCTTCCTTGTCTCCTCGGGGAGGCATGCCGACATCCTTGGGCCACATCTCGAAGTAACTAGGGGCTCGATCTCTGTAACCCATTACGATGATTTGGGTGAGGGCTAGGGTCGGACTGCTTTCTCAAAGATTGCCAAATTGCATGATCTCTGGCTTGGCATGCCATGTAGCTTCCATCCGGAAGCACGTATACTGCCACCCGGTGTGAGAGACAGGCGAGCTCTTACTTCGGAAGAGCTGCCAATGCGACAATGAATTCCAGGTCAAGAAAGTGCTGCCTATCCAGGAGAAGAGGGATGAGGCAGCGCTGTTAGCACTAGTTTAATCCATATCAGATCCATTCAGCTCTCTTCAGCGCAGGTGATGCCTGTTCTTTGCGGCGATTCCCTTGTCGTATGCCTCGTCGGCGAGACGGGCAGCGGCAAGTCCACTCAGGACCGGCCTGGAGCAGATTTTTTGGAAGTCCCGTGGGGTTTCTGAAGCCTTCAAAAAAGATTTGAATCTCTCTTCTTGCAAAAAAATTGCAAGCTGCTTTCTTCTTAGTCTTTTGAACTAAGCGGCCGGTCCAGGTGCCCCAGATGATCCTCGAAGAGGCGGCCGGTACCCGGAAAGGGATAGAAGCCTTGACAGAAGCAACAGAAATCCCATCCTGAAGTATGCTTCCGAGAAAGCCCAGACTCCGCCCGCTTCGCAGGCAAGACAGCGAGGTGGTTTCGCTCGCATCGCTGTGACCGCTGCTGCATCTCAAGTGCTGGGGTTGTGATGGTTTCTGTGCCTGCAAAGCCACCCCCGGGTAACGTAAAGCGGGTTATTGCTTTGATTTTGACGCGGTGAGGACGCAGCCACGGCGTGTGGCCGCTCTGAACTTGGCGCACCGGGTGGCCTCAGAGCTAGGCACATTCTGCTCGGTTTGCTCTTACCTCCTGACAAGCACGTGGCAGTGCGGCGTGTAGCAGTAGTCGCAGTGGCAGTAGCAGTAGCTGTAGAAACAGTAGGACCGTTAGGAGCAGTGTCCGTTGCTTGATAGTCACAGGCGAGCAGCTTGGTGACTCGGTGGGCTACAGAATCGGCGGCCTCTTGGATGCCTTTGGGGTTCCTAAACTTCTAAACCCATTCTGAAAGAAGGACACAGCCCCTAAACCTTCGAAAGCATTGGTACGTTTTTGTAGTCCCAGCGACGCAGCAATGAAGTGTTGAACATGATAGCTGCGCTGGAGGTAAAGGTATCAAGACGTCGGCAGCTATGATGAGGATGATGATGATTATTAACCACGAGGATGATGAGGATGATGTTGTTTGTCGCAAATTTTCCCAACTGTTCTCAACAATAGCGGCCACACTGAAAAGCTCGTGCTTGTGGCAAGGCGACAGCAGCCGCGGAAAGTACATTGACTTCTGTACCGTTGGGTACATATTGCAGCTTTTCCTCAATGCGCCCGAGGATCCTTTGCATGTGTTCCATCTGTTTATGACTGATCTACGAAGTCGCAAAATCATGCTTGCCGACTTCAGGAGTTCGGGGAATACACCCACATCGTCCTCGATGAGGTGCACGAGCGAAGTAGCGGCCTCAGCAGCACACGTGTCAGCTAGGTCCTAGGTGAAGCATGCAGCAAGACAGCATTCACGCAGAATGCTCAGGTGCAGAGAGCGACATGCTGTGCCTTGTGGTTCGCCTTCTAGCGAAGCATCGTTTCGAGGGCACGCGGCTCGTCATCATGCGCGGGCCTTAGACCTTCGCACCACTGACGTGACAGCGACTTGCCATCGTCCTTTGGTGTGCTTTCGCAGAGAGGTCTGCGACGCTCCAATCGGACCTCTTCGCGCACTATTTTGGCGATATTTGCAGATACCCCGTGGGCCGTGTTCATGTAGGCAGCCGGTGCTTTCCAGTGAAGGAGCATTACCTGGACGAGCTTCGGTCGTGGCATTGTTTTTTTTTTTGTTTTGTGTCAAGTTGTTTCGTAAGAACTTCATCATGTTGCAATCTTGTGATTCTGTGCGCCAAGGAGCTGTCCCGGTCATTGGGAAAGCGGCTGCGGTGTGAGGGCATCATCAACAGCCGGGCAAAGGCCCACACCGGGTCAAAGGCCACAGGCTCTGAGGTGTTTTCTGGGCTTGCCACACCTTAGAATTTGAAGGCTTCAGATTCCACTGTGTCATGCTCGCCCCCTTCCGCCTCTGACCCCAACGCCATCTCATCATCATCTTCATCATCTTCGTGGGTTCTGATGCTCTGCAATCCCGCATCCTCAAGTGCTTGAAAAGACACACTCGGCAAGTTGAGCAGGACATGTTCGGTGACGGCAGGGAGAAGAAGGCAAAACGGATTGACCAGAGACATTGCCGGCTTCCCAGAGTGACCGTCAACCCTCGCCTGACACTTCTTCGGGTTCGAGCGTCGCGGTGCAGAGCCGCTGAAATTCTGAAAGCCAGCTGTTTGCATAGCATGGAAGCTTGAGTGGGATCTCCCCCTCACGGTGCGAAAGGCCTGTGAGCTCAAAAAAGAAACTTTCCATTGAAGTTTGAAGTAGCTCTCTCCAATAAGAGCCGAGGTGACAAGTTGCATCCGATAATCCTGGAACTGCTGGAGGTGATTGCCAAGCCGGTACGGGGACCCGGAATTGTGCAAAAACAGAGGGACCTCTTCTTCCACTCTACGAATCTATCATGTTTGAAGTTGGCCCCAGGCCAGTACCATCCTGGTGTTCTTGCCGGGCATCGCCGAGATCTCCTCCTTGTGGCAGGCCTGCTTCGACTCCCTGGATCCTTCTTGCAACAGCAGCAAGCTAACACACTCTGACAAGGGAATGTCTAGAGCCAGGGAGCCCGTGCCGACTTGCATCAACGCCAGAATGCACTCCAGGAAGCAAAGTTCCTAGAAGAGTCCAACGCCTTCAAGATCTTCCCGCTGCACTCCATGGTGCCCCGAGAAGAACAGGAAGCCCCGAAGCTTGGGCGGGAAGGGCAGTGACCTGTGGTTCTGGGAGCAGTAGGAGTAGGAGTCGGAGTAGCAAAAGCTACGGCAGTACCTGTAAGACTGTAAGAGAACATTGGTATTCGCATCGATGCGATTGCTCAAGTCATAGGAAGATGCATGCTCTGAGTGTTTGGTTGGAGCACAGAGTTGTTGTATCGCTGTTTTTTGTGTTCCTGACAGCACGAATGTGTGTTTGGAGGAGGGGAGGGAGAATCAGGAAGCTTTTGAGGTTCCCTAAGTAGGCTCTCATTTCAGATCAACCCTCTTTTGATCAGATCCTGAGTCCCACAAGCCGGGCCGAAAAGCCTGTCGGTGAGGAGCTCGTGTTCGAGGAGCCAGACCCCGATGTTACCCACGCGGAATCCTCAGTGTGCCTGTTCCCCTTCGTTTTCCCCTTCCCCTTCGCTGCTTCTTTGGGCGGACACAACGAGTCGGAGCTTCTCCGAGGTAGTCCTGGCCACGGACATCGCAGAGTCCTCCATCACCTTGCCCCACGCCCGGGGCCCCGGTGATTGCGGGTGATTGCGAAGAGCTTCGCATGCATGAGGTGCACCAAAACCCGAGTGCCCTCTCCAAACCCTCAAGATCCAAAATGTCGCAAGACTACCTCGAGTTGGATTTCGCAGGTTGACATTTTGCTTGTCGGCACGTGTTGAGCTATGTTTTTCACCTTTGTCAATATCGAAGTGTCTCCAACTGTCTGAGCATACCTCGGAGGGCTCGAGCTCCGTCTCGGCGACAAGCTTACAGATGCGTACCGTAATCATGTACGAGTCCAGGCGAGTTGTGTATTGGTGGAAGGATTCGGCGATGTTTAAAGGGGAGAATGTCCTCAATCCTGAGGACGAGGGCAGCCCTGTCCATGGTGTCATCATGATTTTAGATGCGATGCGAACTTCGAACCATAGTCCCCTTTGAAAGCTGCAGAGCTCAATTCTCTCCAAAGACGAGAAGTTGAGACTTGTCGCCGCCCAAATGCCATGTTGGCGGAGACTTTGGGTGCCAGCGGTCGTGCTTCGCCTGTTCGGTGGGCCAGGCACCGTGGAGTGCGAGGTTTACATAGAGAGAGAGAGAGAGAGGCAGAGTCTTGTTGTTTTGCAAAAAGGGCCACCTCCGAGCCGGCACCCTCGCAATGACGAGGGGACGCAGAGCCAACACAGAGTCGAACGAGTAGGACCAGGCGGGGAGTGAATGTATATGCATGAGGCCACAGGCGGGGCTTGAGCGGTGTTTGTGTGTGACCTGGTCCTACAAAGCTGGCTCCTGCGTTGTTTCACGCCGACTAACAAACGACAGACAGTGCCGTAGCGCGTGAGCGCAGGGGAGCGAGGGGAACCTCGTTCTCCAAACGGCGTGCAAGCAAGCAAGCAAGAGAGAGAGAGAGAGAGAGAGAAAGAGAGAGACAGAGAGAGTCAGAGTTTTGTAAAGCGGATGACCAGGGGTTGAACCTCTTTTCTTGATTGTTCGCCCGGGGAT